TTCTTCATACCACTCTTCTATATATTATGATAAGTGGTTTCTGTCTGTCTTCCCAAATGAGATTGTAGTACCAATGATCACTGAATATAGGAACTCTGTTGAAATCATGGTTGGATCCCCATCTCTTAATCTGTGCTTAGCAGACAATAGTTGCTCATTAAATCTTTGCTTTTGAATAAGGAGGTATGAGAAAGAAAGCCAGTTAGAAATTTCTTTGAATGATAGAAGAGAGAGAAAGGAAAATGCCATTTCCTTTACACATAACACTTCGGACACCGTATGTATGGTTTGTCCACAACAAGTAATTCTCCAGTTCTTGGTGGGCACTGACTGACTCTTCTACAATTTAACTCAGTTCTTACTCTGACTGCCAGAAGTTAGTACTGACCTGACAGGTAAAGGGCTCAATCCCACAAGACTGTCCTTCCAACACAATCGCAAGTCCCAGGTTGTCACCTGTACTTATGATCAACCAGTTATAAATTGTGGGTTCCTATGAATCCTTCCCTCAAGTCTAATAATTTGCTAAAACACCTTGCAAAACTCAGAGTAACATTTACTTACATTTACTGTCTTATTATAAAGGACATCACAAAGGATATAGAAGAACAGCCAGATAAAGAGGTACACAGGTAAAGGTATGGGGAAGGGGCACAAAGCTTCCATGCCCTCTTCAGATGTACCTCCCTCCCAGTACCTCAAGGTGTTGTGAACTCTTTGAACCCCATTGTTTAGGGTTGTTACAATGTTCCATTAGGTAGGCATGATTGATTAAATTATTGGCCATTGGTAATCAAACTCAACTCCCAGCCCCACCACCCCCCCGTTGGGGGTCAGGGTGCGGGGCTGAAAGTTCCAGGATCTAATCACATGGTTGGCTCCTCTAGAAACCAGCCCCCTGTCCTCTAAGCAGAGTGGCTTAAAGGGGCTTATTATGAATAACATTTAGGAGATTTGTGGCAGGAACTGGGGACAAAGACCAAGTATATATTTATTTTCTCATAATATCACCGGAGATTAACCCAGATTTCAGGGAGTAGCGAGCTCTTGACCATGCTTGTTCTGCATAGGAAGGATACACCATGTTCAGGAAAACTTACCAAAAGGTTGTGTACCGGTAGTCGGGACAGAGAGACCGAGATGCACAAGGTCTGTTGTTGGATTCGAGGGGCTTGGGAAACTAGTTCAGCAGATGAACTAGCTGGTTATGTCACCCGCCTGACCAGAGCAGCCTTTGCTTCTCTCGGAGAAGCCAGACGACTCCGACATCACCAACATGGAGTTGTTCTCCAGAGGCCTCATTCTGCCCTTGAACCCCTGGTTCCTGCTTATTGTCTTCAGCGCAGGTAATTAAAAGTTAATTTTTGAAACAAGTGAACTCAAGCAGGAATAATGACTTTGACTTACAGTACCGAGAGGTCATAGCTGGACATGTGAATAGAGATCTCGCCCCTTCCTGGGCCCCTTGCCCACAGCGCAAGTCCCAGGGAGGGGTGCCGTAACGGGTCAGGCTTCTCCTAGATGGGCCCTGAGAGTAAGCCCTGAATGGAAATGCCAGGACGGGGCATGGTGTCATTCGGCCGTGTGTGTGTGTGTGTGTGTGTGTGTGTGTGAGGGTTTGAGGGGCATGGAGGTGGGGCTGGGAGGGTTCTTTTACAGCTTTATTGAAGCATAATTGATGTAAGATAAATGGCACATATTTAAAGTGTAGAAACAGTTGTGACAGGTGTAGAGAAACCACAATTGAGATAATGAACATACCTATCACCTCAGTTTTTTGTACCCCTTTGTAATCCCTTCATCCCTCACCTCTTCTCCAGGCACTGATCTGCTTTCTGTCACTATAGTTTAGTCTGCATTTTTTAGATTTCATACAATTGACATTTTATAAATATATATATATATATAGTATGTGCATGTATTCATCCCTTCTCCCCAGTTCAACCTTACTGAAAGAGAAAGTTCAATCAGTGTGTCGTTGGGAATTTGCTTTGCTGAATTTAGAGACAAGAGTAATGTCCCAGGAGCTGACTTGACTCCTGTGCCTACTCGCAGTTGGCATCCTTGGTTAGACGTTTCCTGAGCAGAGGCCAGGGTTCAGTGTTACCCAGCAGACAGCAGGCTGGAGGTTTTTGACTTTCCATAAATTGTTGGCACAAATGCCTTAGAGCCTTTAGCCTGTGGGATTTTGTGAGGCTGTGGCATGTTTAGGATAAGGAAGGTAAATTCTATTACAAGAAGGTGTTTCCACAGCCCTGGAGCTGTGGAGGATGGACCCCACACTGTCACTGAAGATCCTAGCACAGGGGAAGCTGTGTGATCTTAACTTAACTTAGAGTCAGGACCCTTGTTTAGTGTCCCACTGATAAGATGGGGCAATGCTCCTTCTTTCCCTGGGTTGCTGGACAATAGGGTGAAGCAGACAGGGGTATGCAAGTGGGAGGGAGGCATTGCTGAATCCCTGGGTGACTTGCAGTCATAATGACATGCTGACCTGGTTGCAATAATTTTTTTATGGTGAATACTTGTGTACCACAAAGCATCTCTGCCCAGTCATTTCATAATGAAAGGGCACAGGTGAGGCATGGGGACCCTCTTCTGTGGCATCGTCTGGGCCTCACACCTTCCCCCCACCCTGAGACGGTTGAATTGGAGTCAGAGGACCACGGAGGGCCATGTGCCCGTGTTGGGCTGTGTCCAGCATGGATGTGGATGGCAACCCCAAAACAGTGCCCTCTGCATTGGCGGCACCTCTGGGAGGTCTTATTTCCTCTTGTCAGTGGATTTCAAGACCTGTCCTCACACCATGAAGGAAGGCCACTTGTTCTAACATGAGTGACAGGGCACAACTAGCAGTTCCAGAGACACAGGGTGCAGGTGTTTGCCGCCTCTGGGCTGGCAGCTCTGGAAGTGGGGGAGACGCCTTGTCTGATGTCGGAATATTAGGGCTTCAAGGAGATCAGGAGGGGAGGTGGGGGCAGGAGGGGCAGCCAGCCCCTGGCACCTGGCCAGGATCCTGCAGTGAGGTTGCCCACAGCCGTCCAGGCATCCTCGCGCCCACAGCCCAAGCTCCCACAAAGGCACCAGGACACTCTAGGTAGGCTGGAGTCGCTACTGAGCACCAGGATCCCAGGGCGTGGCAAGGGGCTTGGCCAGCACAGGGAGGGCTGGGGGCCCCCATGGAGTAAGGGGAAGAGGTATGAGGAGAGGAGGAGCCATGCCTGAGATCTGCCAGTCTCTTCCCCCGCCTGATTTTTCTGTCTGTCCTCTTTTCTTCCATCCTCCATATGCCCCTTTTGCATCCCCCGTTGTCTACCTCCCACCCCTCATCCCTCACCCACAAAGCTTACTGCTGGGACTATTTTTGTGTGAAAGTCCTCTAGGTTTGACCTTCCAAAGGGTATGTCAAAGGCAAAGGTTAGCATTCCATATCTGCACAGTGGCCACATGTAGCTACTGAGCACTTAGAATACAGTGAAACTGAGAACTTTGGTTTACTTTAGTTTATTTTAATAAATTTAAATGTAAAAGCTGATAATTGATTCAGTTATTTGGAAAACTTCAGTTGTCTGGATCAACTCAGGTATGTGAATCTGTTTTTCAACTGCAAATATTATGAAATCAAAATACAGATAAAATATTTTCAGTGAAAATTTAGCATCTGAATCAAGATGTGCTGTAAGTGTAAAATACACCGGATTTTAAAGACTTACTACAGGAAAAAGAATGAAAATATATCAAAATATTGATCACATGTTTATATTATAGTATTTTGGATCTCTTGGGTTATATAAAATCTATTATTAAAATGAATGTCACTGGTTTCTTTTACCCCTTTTTATGGTATGGCTACTAGAACTCTAAAATGTTGCATGTCTCACATTGTATTTATTGTATTTCTGTGGGACTGTGCACGCTAAATTGCCCATTTAGCTGGATTTAGATGAGGAGGTAATGGCCCAGCCCACGGAGGTCTCAAGTCGCCTCTGCCGATGCGTGGCTCTCGCCGCCCCACTTCCCTGGTCCTCAACCCAGATGAATCGAGACCAGGAAGCGGGGAGAAAGGCCATGGAGAGACAAGGGGGAGGACCGCTGCTGCTCCGCGCCCCCTCCAGAAAGGGCCCCATTCAGCCCCGCCCCACCCGCAGGGCATTAGGAACAAGTGTGAGGAACCAGGGCTCTGCAGGGACTCTGCGCTGCTCCCCACCTGTCCTCGGCCTGGCAACTGGCTGTGACACCTGGACAGATGCCAGAGGGGGTGAACCGAAGAATCCTTGAGTGCCAGCCGAACAGACCGTCAGGACCTGGAGGGGTTTGTCATAGAAACATTACAAAGCCGGGCCTGCTGCTTTATCACCTACTGGAGCAAAACCACCCTGGAACTGTTCACCTAGCTTGGTCCTAGGGTAACTGAAGTGAAAATTGGAAGTTTTCCTTAATAACCCAAACAAACGGTGATGCTTACCTGTAAGCTTTACAGGACTTGCTCCTTTAGCAAGCCAGGATGTGAAATCTGGATGACAAAAGATTTATGGAGGCTGATAGCATGTTTTGCAAAAAGGATCCAAAATAAGGCAACAGTCAGGCAACCAAGAGAGGCTGCCAACCTGCTAGGTACAATACCTGGTAAAGTAAAAAGAGACAGACGTCTTTTCCCTCTGTCCATCTCACTTGGTTAGGAATGTCTCTTTCTTCTCTATCCATCTGTTCAAGTCGGACTTGGTCTCCGGGACGCAGCTCAGATCCCCCTTCCTCCCTGGTTACTCCAGACCTCCCAGCCTCTGTAATCAAGCAGCTGTATGAGCCCGGGGCTGCACACCCCATAGGCCTCCAGCCTCCGTGAAATGACTACGTGCATCTGTATGTTTTCCTCTGGAGCCAGGTTGTAAGACCTGCATGCAAATAACATGATTTGTTCTGATCAGCTACCTACCCCAGAGACACGGAACTACAAAGTGCTTTTCCAATAGTAATGCTTTACCCTCACCTCCAAAAATCAGTCTGATGTGAAAAACATTTTATTTATAATTTCTCATATTTACAGAATATATCTTTGTTACAATCATTCTTACAATAAATACTAAACATGCTAAATGGACTGTCATCACAGGGGCACATGGTCCGTCAGAGGCACAGGGTCTGAGGGGTGCTGTAGACCCTGGTGCTCCCCGAGGGCCAGGCAGGAGCCTTCTGAGAGGTTAGTGAGTGGGAGACCAATTTAAGGTCTGAACTTGAAATGAAAATAATAGCTGTAATAGCCAAATAATACTACAGCAATCCTAGAATGTCTACTGAGGAAGCAGGTAAAGGTTTTTACTATTTTTACCAGACGATGCTAAAGAAACAGAACAGACTCAAGGTCTCCATTAGTGAGAAGCAAAGAAGCCAGAGCCTTCCCCATGCCCTCCCCCAGCCCGGGCCTCATCTTACCCGCCCCTGCCGCACACCCAGCACAGTGCCCGGGCCCTTCGGGGTGAGGGTGCGGCAGAGGAGGGCACACACCTCAGCCCCAGCGTCCCTTAGGAGGAGATGCTGTCGGCGGAGTGAGTGAGGACCTGAGGAAGAGCTGCTGAATTCCAGAGCTGGGTCCTGAAGAGCCCCATGAAGATCAGCAAGGAGCTGGCAGTGTGGATGCTTAGAGCCTCCTGCCTGCCTCCCTGGTGTTGTCCTGGCTCAGCTGTGAGGGCCAAGCGCCTGAGCTGTGCTGACGGAAAGACGGGCGGGAGAAACGCCATTGTTTTCACCACCTAGTTCGACCCCTTTTTTATAAACAGCCATTGTGCCAGGTAAAATGCGCTCTCTGTTCTCACAAAACTGTCCATCAGAGGTGTAGAACGCTTTTTGGAAGACAGTACTACAGCTCTAGAATAGTTTATGCAGTTTCTGATTGGCAACTTTGGGCCGAGGCCGAGAGCATCGCCTAATTCACCTTGCCTAGTCGTGAACATTGGCCCTGCTGTCATTTGATCAGCACCGGGTGTGCTAACGGCGAGGCCAGGACGCCACCCTAGGCTCCACGGCCACCCGAGTTCTCAGGCCCACACACATGTCCAGACTCCAGGAGGTCCTCTGTAACTCAGCCTCGCATCTCAGCTGTGAAGACATAGGCTTGCCATCACCACAAAGAGCTGTGCCGAGAGAAGGAAGCCGCCTCAGAGGGAGGAGCAGCAAGAAAAAGATGTTATAAAGAAATCTGTGCTTCAGGGGGACAGTCCATGCTGCCGATCTGATGCCGGGAGTTAGGAAGTCCACTGCGAGTGGTGAGGGGCTGGCCGTGGTGGCAGAGGAGGCTCCTTTCCAGCCATGGAGCTAACTGACCTCCACGGGGCTCCTACGTCTGTGGAAGGAGAATGGAGGCCTTAAGGCTTCTCACAGGATTTCTCGTCTTTGTGAGTTGGGAGGAAGACTGTGAAAAATCTTTGTAACATTCCATTATTACTGGGCTTAATACCACAATGCCAGCCCCTGCACAGATAACTTCCTGCTTTTATAGCTTGAAAATATTTGTTCACTCAACCACAACTCGACATCCTCAAAGTCAGAGAAGGAGGTAAGTTCCATCCAGGTTGACGGTAGGGACACCACAAAGGTGGCAGCAGTGAATTTTGGGCAAAAGAGACAAACTTCAATTATTTCGCTTCTGCCCATTTCCTCTAGCTTCAAAAGCAGTTTGGGTCGTCTCAGAACTCATGTCTACTCTAGGAGAGAGAAAGCAACAGTCCATTTTCAAGGAACAGCCTAATTATAAAATCTATGGAGTACAAAACATAACTGCCCCGCTGACCGGACGTTGGGCTCGGATTTAATCTGTCCTTCTCACACATATGGTTTGACACCTTCTGATTCCAATTCTAATTCCAAAGTGAGACTCTCATTCCCTAAGGTCCACTCAGTGCATCTGATCCAAAGAACAGGACTTTGAAAAGGCCTGTACTCTATTTAAAAGAATATCTCTTGTTTTTGTTTTGTCCCTGACACTTTGACCCTCCTGTATCAATCTCCCCCGCCCCACTGCCAATCCCAGTTGTTAAGGTCAGACTAAACATTGTTAAGGTTCCTAAGGGCAGACTCCGTTTCCTGATAGCAGAAGGAAATCATAGAAAGACAACCCCCCTTCCCTGAGGAAAGAAACTGTGTATCAAAAGCAAAACCTAAGCAGAGAGTATACATTCTGGTGTGAAAGCTTGGACAAGAGGCAGAATTTCCAGGACACTTGAACCCACAGTCAAGTGAACCCCTGGATGAAAAGGTTTTCCGACCAATGACAGCCCCCAGTGGGTGATATGGCTTGTGCCCCCACAATCCAGACCACCTCATGGCCTCACACAGAGGAAGCTTGGAATTCCTGTCTCACGGAGAGCTCTCCCCCTCCCCGATCACACTGCAGATGGCCATGGCATCAGAATGTGGGGTGCCCAGCTGGAGACCCCACACAAGGGCCTAGGTGTTCTCAGGTTGAGCTCCAGAGAACCCTCAGCAATTTCAAGTGTCCAGGGCCCCACAGTGTGTAGTGTCCAAGGCAAAGTTCTTCCCAGGACGTGCCTAGGAGTGTGGGGGCCTCAGGCATGGGCCTCGGTCTCCGTCTTGATGGCAGGTTTGTAAATGACTCCCTTGCTGTCATCTTTTTTGCTGACGGAATAAGAACACAGGAGTCTTGTTAGTCAAAGAGGAGAGAAGCAGAAAGCAGCCTAACTCAGCTACGGAATGAGGCAAGTTGTAGGGGTCAGAGTCCTCTCGGGGGCCTTCCCCTACTTCATTTGGTCTTGGGAGGGAATGGCCCCAAATAAAGCATTAACCACAACGGAACCAGTTCATTTTCCAACTGTTCTCTTTTAACACCTGACAATACTAGATCTGCATTTTGAAGTTCTCATTACTGCATCTGCTCCAAACCTTTGACCCCATAATAGGGTTCCTGGCAACCTTTTTTTTCATACCAGGAAAAATAAACTAGATTTAGGAAAAACCAAAGGGCATTAATAGCAAATAAGAAATTGAGTTTTCTTTCATTTTCTCTTTTTGGATTCAGAGAAGAAAAACAAGATGTAAAGATCTTAGAAAGACAGCAGCCTTGCTGTTGTATAGAGGCAAATGGGATCCCCTGTCCCTCCAAAATCAAGAGACTTGTCCAAGGTTTTGGCAGTGGCAGCAAGGCCAGCAGACACACTTCCAAGTGTGAGCCTTGAATGACCAGCATCTCCTGCAAAGGAGGCCTGGGGCCGTGGTGTTTGGGAAAGAGCATTCCTAGTGTTGGTCCAGGTGCCAGGGGCTCTTCATTCTGCAGGCTGCCTTCCCAGACAAATAAACCCTCATGGACACATAAGTCCGCACTCACATTTTGAACCAAAACCAACTCACCTCTTCTTCCTTCTGAAAAGCCAAATGGTAACTGCCAGGACAATACAGACACCAAGAATGCCAGCCAGAGCCACTGCAAGGATGATGCCTGGTGAAGAGGCAGGGAATACACAGTACACACATTACGTTACGTCCTTTCCTTTCATCTCATCCCACGGCACATGGGAGGGAAGTCAAGTGACAGCTGCATAATCGTCCACAGAGAAGGGTAATTTCCCCATCTCTGTTCTTGGGTTCTGGCCTTTGGCTTAGCAGGAGTGGCTGGAGTACTTAGAGGGGGCCATTTGCGAATTGCAGTGATTCTCCAGCAGGGGTTCTCAAACTCGCATCGGGGTAATCTGAAGAGCTTGTTTAAAATGTAGGCTTTTTTTGAGCCCCACCCACAGAGACTTTTTGAGGCCATCTGGAGTGGGCCCAAGAATCTGCATTTTTCACCAAACACTTCTAGGTGACGCCGATGTATGTGGTCTGTGAACCACACTTATCACCCAGCTGCAGCATGCACGGCCGGCCGGCCACATACCCAGACTCAGTCCTGTGTACGTAAGGTCTTGCCCTTCAGAACGGGGAGGGAAAGATTGGAAATTAACCAAGTTAAACCATGGTGGATTTGACCTGTGTTTTCAGTGAGGCTCTACCTTTTGTTGGTTGGAGGTACGGGGCTTTGATGCAGACTGTCTGCGTGTGTTCGCTTTTGGCTCAGGGGCCTGATGAGGGAGAAGGAACTGCCCACCCAGGGAATTCACACTGTGACCCTCCTTCCAGTGCTCCTTTATCCAGCAGTCACTTTGCTCGGGCAACACTTCAGTTTTTAATGCAGCTTGGCCAAAGCGGAAGGTGAGGAAGGGCAAGAATCAGAGTCTACTTGGGCGGGTTGTTATCTGCTCCTCTGGCACCTACCCCTCTTCCTCCACAAGAACTTCCAGGTTGTGGCTGGCTGGAGCTGGCAGAGCTTTGTTGGAACCTGTCACTAGACTTCTGCCCATCCCAGTCCCGTCTCGTTGTCATGGTTTGGTTCTATTTTTGCTTTGGTCCCATGGACAGACTGGAGAAACCCCTCCACCACACCAGCATTCCTGCCCTGCTCCACGGAACCAGAGGATTATGGCTTCTGTCGGTGAGTTATTGTTGGCAATAAATGGGGGTACAGTAGTGGGGCTGAAATAGCCCCCAGCTATCTATTTTCAGTGAAACCCCATAGTCAGCCTGTAGGGACCTCCCTGGGGGAGGGTCATGGGTAAGTCCACCTTCTTGAGTAAGACAGAGGAGCTCAGTCATGAAGCCCCCTGGGTCACCCCAGCCTGCTGCTTCCACGTTCTCAGAGCTACTCTCCATTCTTCCAATCAGGTCTTCATCTAAAGCAAGTCTCTGTCATACACACTCTCTTTCTGTTATACACACCCTCTCAGGACAAACTTAGCATGTGTGTGAGTGTGTGCGTGCATGTGTGTGTGTGTTGGGGGAGTGCAGTGTTTGTTCCAGTTCACACTGGAAGCCAGTGCTGTACAGATGGCGGCCATCAGACCGCCACTCGGGAGATCCTGTGCCCACAGAGCCCGCTGTGGTGACAGGGACCCCGGGAGAGCCCTGACCGAGGGTGAGGTGCCAGCAGAGGGCAGGGACTCACCCCTGGAGCACGTGACACTACGAGGAACCAGGCCCGAGACTGCAGGAAGAGGTTTTGCTCACTGCCTTCTCTGTCAGGTGGCCAGAGTCTGGCTGATTTTTGTGGAGCCAGCAGCCCTATGTCCTTTACCTCCTGCCCCCTTCCACAGTTTCACAGTGAGTGTGCATCCTCTCAAGTCCACGGCTGGCCCCCAGGAGTCCCTGGCCTGGCTTCCCCAGGTGGCCCTGGGCTGTCGTGAGGATGATCAGGAGCGGCCCACAAAGGCCAGGGTGCCTGTTCTTTCTGTTCTTCATGGCCACCAGCAGCCCATGGCCCCACAAGTGGCAGAGAGAGTGGCTCCCTGGCCTGATTCCCTGCCCCAGGCCCCTTCTTGTACCCCGAACACAAGGACCAGGCTGTGGCTCAGGACGTGAGCCTGCCCCTGGGGAGTGTCAAGTGTTTGTGCAGCACACACTCCCTGCCTGGCCTGTGGCCTCTGCACACTGTAATTTGGTATTTTAGGTTTTTTAAAGGTACCTAGAGGTGACCAAGGCCTTTAGGATCTTAGAAACAACAACACCCAAAAAAAAACCCCCAACTAGTCATGATGTCTTTTCCAGTCCTTTGATGAAATACACTTTTGTCCTTTGTTCCTAAAGCTGCAGATGCTTGTGGTACCAACCACATAAGACTATTCCTAGGAAGCCTAGCCAGTGGCTAAGCTGTCCAAACTGGACAGTTTCTAAAGTGGTTGCTTTCACGGTCGCCTCAGGCATCCCGAGAGCCACACAGCCTGCAGAGAGCTGAGCAGCACCCCTGGGGCTGCAGGAGGCGCCCGCATGCCATGGTCTCAGGGAGCTGAGCGAAGTCTGCAGAAGCAAGGCCCCCCGGGTTGGGACTTTTCTCAAGAGTACACGGCCCAGCTTCGTAGCTTATCTGGAGGAAGAGTACAGCTCCCCCGGTTCGCTAAGCGAGGCCCTTTAAACAACAGCCTAATTTAATCCAGGGCTCTAACCTGGGTTCCTTGGCCCTGGATGACCACTTGTCAGGGCCTACCTAAGTTGCCTGTCCCTGGTAACAAGGACAATGGACCAAGAAACCACGAAAACAAGGAAAGCCCCAGAGTCTGGGACAGACGCTGCTCGGCCAAGACTTTGATGCAGCAAAACAAAGCAGCCTGACTGAGCAAGCAAAGAGCACAAGCCACTGAGAAGAGTGGCAGCAAGGGTGTCACCCCACTAGAAGGCTGCCCCTCAGGAAGCCCCGGGCAGGAAGATGTTGGCATGTCACCCTGCCAGTTGAGACAGCACCGGCCATCGGATGAAGGGCTTCTCTGGGGAGCAGGGGCTGCAGGCTGCAGGGCTTGGGGCCCGCTGGGGGCAGATTGTTATACACACCCTCTCAGGACAAACTTAGCATGTGTGTGAGTGTGTGCGTGCATGTGTGTGTGTGTTGGGGGAGTGCAGTGTTTGTTCCAGTTCACACTGGAAGCCAGTGCTGTACAGATGGCGGCCATCAGACCGCCACTCGGGAGATCCTGTGCCCACAGAGCCCGCTGTGGTGACAGGGACCCCGGGAGAGCCCTGACCGAGGGTGAGGTGCCAGCAGAGGGCAGGGACTCACCCCTGGAGCACGTGACACTACGAGGAACCAGGCCCGAGACTGCAGGAAGAGGTTTTGCTCACTGCCTTCTCTGTCAGGTGGCCAGAGTCTGGCTGATTTTTGTGGAGCCAGCAGCCCTATGTCCTTTACCTCCTGCCCCCTTCCACAGTTTCACAGTGAGTGTGCATCCTCTCAAGTCCACGGCTGGCCCCCAGGAGTCCCTGGCCTGGCTTCCCCAGGTGGCCCTGGGCTGTCGTGAGGATGATCAGGAGCGGCCCACAAAGGCCAGGGTGCCTGTTCTTTCTGTTCTTCATGGCCACCAGCAGCCCATGGCCCCACAAGTGGCAGAGAGAGTGGCTCCCTGGCCTGATTCCCTGCCCCAGGCCCCTTCTTGTACCCCGAACACAAGGACCAGGCTGTGGCTCAGGACGTGAGCCTGCCCCTGGGGAGTGTCAAGTGTTTGTGCAGCACACACTCCCTGCCTGGCCTGTGGCCTCTGCACACTGTAATTTGGTATTTTAGGTTTTTTAAAGGTACCTAGAGGTGACCAAGGCCTTTAGGATCTTAGAAACAACAACACCCAAAAAAAAACCCCCAACTAGTCATGATGTCTTTTCCAGTCCTTTGATGAAATACACTTTTGTCCTTTGTTCCTAAAGCTGCAGATGCTTGTGGTACCAACCACATAAGACTATTCCTAGGAAGCCTAGCCAGTGGCTAAGCTGTCCAAACTGGACAGTTTCTAAAGTGGTTGCTTTCACGGTCGCCTCAGGCATCCCGAGAGCCACACAGCCTGCAGAGAGCTGAGCAGCACCCCTGGGGCTGCAGGAGGCGCCCGCATGCCATGGTCTCAGGGAGCTGAGCGAAGTCTGCAGAAGCAAGGCCCCCCGGGTTGGGACTTTTCTCAAGAGTACACGGCCCAGCTTCGTAGCTTATCTGGAGGAAGAGTACAGCTCCCCCGGTTCGCTAAGCGAGGCCCTTTAAACAACAGCCTAATTTAATCCAGGGCTCTAACCTGGGTTCCTTGGCCCTGGATGACCACTTGTCAGGGCCTACCTAAGTTGCCTGTCCCTGGTAACAAGGACAATGGACCAAGAAACCACGAAAACAAGGAAAGCCCCAGAGTCTGGGACAGACGCTGCTCGGCCAAGACTTTGATGCAGCAAAACAAAGCAGCCTGACTGAGCAAGCAAAGAGCACAAGCCACTGAGAAGAGTGGCAGCAAGGGTGTCACCCCACTAGAAGGCTGCCCCTCAGGAAGCCCCGGGCAGGAAGATGTTGGCATGTCACCCTGCCAGTTGAGACAGCACCGGCCATCGGATGAAGGGCTTCTCTGGGGAGCAGGGGCTGCAGGCTGCAGGGCTTGGGGCCCGCTGGGGGCAGATACCAAGGCACCTGCTATCTGAAGGGAGCGGGGAGGTCAGGGGGATTTCCAGGACTCAGGAGAGCTGCTGGGGCAATGGGAGAACTAGAGCCCAGAGAGGGAAGCCAGAGCCTGCATCACAGCAGGGCCTCGGGCACGTTGTCAGAACAGGCACCAAACAGGTGCAGGGAGGAGCCAGAGAAACTCGCAGATTAAACAAAGAAAGGGTGTGGCTTTAAAGGCAAATAAGAAAGACACTTCCCCCAGAAGAACAATGGGACAGACAGGAGGAATGGAGACAGGCTGGTTGACAGAGAGGGCCCACGACAGCCACTGATGAGGACACAACGGAAGGGCTCCTGAGCTGGCTGGTAAGAGCATGCACACCGTGCAGACATGGGAGAGCAAGCTGCCTGCTCTCCATAAAGTGCTCCGGTGTGTGTCGCGGTGAGCAGAGACAAGCAGTACAACACACAGAAGGAAATGACGCAGATACAGAACTCGACTGTCACTTGTCTGGCCAGGAAGGTAGCTCCGCAAGCTGCTTGCCGCAAGGGCCTCGCTGCCTGCTCTGGCTGGCTCAGGGGCCGCGTCTTCCTCTGGCATCTTCCTTGACCCAGGGGTGCTTGCTTAACTGCTGCTGCGGTCTGCTGAAGCCTCAAGTGCAAACAGGAAAGCCCAGCGGGAGCAACAAGAGCCTTATTTACACAGCTTGTGGTTCCTGAAACAAGTCTAGCATTTTCTAGGTCTATTTGCAATTCTGTTTATTCAAACAATTTTGAATTAAAAGGGATACAATCTTTTTCCTTTCCAAGTATTAAAGTATGGACTGTTTTGGTAGGTGACATGTTAGTTACATGGTGATTTCATATACATACATATATGCCTGTGTGTGTGTGTGTGTGTGTGTGTGTATGTAATGTATTTAGCAGTCTCTGGTCTTGTAAAAGAGGGAGGGAGAATGTGGGTTTAGCAGGGATTTGAC